TCCCCACATTGCTCACCATATGTTTTGTCTGACTCAATGTATTTTAAAATTTAACACACTGCCTTATATAGAATCACAGTAGCAAAGCCACGGGAGCCTCCCAGTGGCTCCTTATAAATCAGAGTGCTCCACATTGTTTTGCTTTGGTGACATGTCAATTCTGTCCCTTGAGAATATCATCCTAGTGTAACATATTGTTCAGATGTCGAAGTGACGCAAGCCAGTCAGACACAAGCCAGTCAGACGCAAGCCCTACCCAAGGCAAGGCAAACAGCTTTATTCACTCTGACTACTGAGGCTGGAACTAGCAACATTCTGATTTTTCTGAATGGGGGACAAGAATGAGTTTTGCACAGAATGGATAGCTATTTGTATATACTACAACTGCTCTGAGCAGTACCTTTAGGCAATGTGGAGCACATAAAATGTGCTGCATATAAAATGTGGAGGATAACATTAACTGTGGCATTCCTGCTGGTGGTTCAATGCTGGTACAAATATAAGCTTTTAATCTGGTGCATGTTTATGTGCAGTCACAATCAACTGAATAAAGTGTTAATTTAGCTTGCTGCTGCTACCCAAGGGCAGTGAATGTATATTAATGAAATTGTCAAATATGACGGTTTTTTCTTTGTCGGGATGTCAATTTCTAGTGAGCTCTTCCAGACTTAATTTAGAAAAGTGGAGCTATTCTCCTACCCCCACTCCCAAACTGAAAAATACCTCAGATTATTCCAAGCTAACCTGAACTGATTTGGAATATATCATGCCCTGGTTGAGGGTGCAATGGGGTCCAAAGTCTACCTGGCCCCCATGAGTATCAAGTACCCTCTCCCTTCCATCTCCAAAAGCCTTCATTACCCCCATCCATCCACCCCTTTTCTAGCCTGACTGCTGGTGGAAGCAGTATATCTCCCCCTTCCATAGCTGTCAACTGTCCCTTATTTGGCGGGAAAGTCCCTTATCCCAGCGCCGTGTCCCACTGCTGTCCCTCATTGATGATGTCCCTTAAATTTCCCGGGTTTCAAAGGAAGCAGCTCCTCTCCCTCCCTCCCTGCCGGCCAGGGAGGAGGGAGGCTCCAACTGTGTTGCTTGGATGCATTGCTCACCCAATAAGGAGGCTAAGAATGACTGGGGGGTGGAGCTTGCATGCCTTGTGCCGATCAAATTGGCCTTGTTGCCTGGGGACTTGCCTTTGCTCAGCGCTTCCAGGCGGAGAGGTGACGGTGGTTTTCCTTGCTGCATCCCCTTTGCCGGGTTGCTGCGCTGTGGGAACCACCACTTGAGGCTTCGTTTGGCTGCTGGCTGGGCTTTCTGCCTTTGGCTCGGAGGGGCTCAGAAGTCAAACATACCTGTGCTCTGAAAATCCCTTATTTTGGCTGCTGATCCCTTATTTCCGAGGCTGCTGGCCCCTTATTTTCAAATCTGTAAGTTGACAGCTATGCCCCCTTCCCACTTGACCAATGTACTTCAATATACCACCACTAACACTTCACTGGCCAGAAAGAAGTAGAACTGAGAATGGTTGGGGCGAGGCGGGGGTTGGATGTAGGGAAGAATTTGAATTATTACATGTCTAAGATTTTTAACAGAGCAGGAGAAGAATTCAGGGGTTCTAAATGTTGCCTTGTATTTGAAGTAGGCATTACAAGTCCCCGAAGTTCATATTTCTGAGCCAGGAAATTTAAATCTTGATGACATCTTCACCAATCTCCATTCCATATTTGGGATCCGATCTTACCAACTGCAATACACATTTACTGAGACTTACTCAATGCCAATAGTAACATCAGGGCCTTGCCTGTAGACATCAAGGACTGAACCTGGGACTTTCTGCATGCAAGACCCATGTTCTACCACTGAGAAGGAGTTCTTGGCAGAGTTGTTTAAGAGACATGATCGAACTGGCAGTGCAACAGAGCCCTACAAATTCCTGCCAGAAAACAATAGTGCTGTCAGGAGTCAGGCATCCCAACGAGGTGGCTGTCCTCACTTGAGATCATTGTCTTGCGTGTAGCTACACTCTTCACAATTTCTTGCTGTTACTTAGATATACAGCAAAATAGATGGTCCACGTGTACTTGCAGGAACAATATTAGCAAATGGATGGGTAGAAAGTGAATGCCGCATACATTATTGATGGAGAATCCCATTACAGCTCATCAGAGCTGATGGTTGTATTATTGTATTAGATTACTCTGAGTACATAAAGCCAGATCTCGTAGAAGCCATCTAAATTGCAATTATGAAAAGAAACAGTGCTTCTGCCGATGTGGCTCACTTTACATATAATGATGGTCTGGTTTATGGCTTCTGTGCTGAAAAATTGTCTCAGAAGGATAGACAAACAGAACCTAAATGTTATCAACAGTGCTGCAATGTTGCTGGTGCTGTGAATGACAGGGGCTCCATTTGACTATATTACATGCCTGGTGCTTTAAAACACACAAAATGCAATGCAAAAAACAAAACATCTATTCACATGAGTCCCTGGGGTTTTTAAGCAATCTTCAGATAAAACAACCGCACAGTTCTTACACACATCACATTTACAAAAATCCTACGAGAAAGACAGCAGGCTGAGCCTTATTGAAAGGGCAAAATGAAAACAGCATTCTTTATTCACCATATTAACTCAAATCACTTTCAAGAAGGGAAACTAATGGAGCGTGTCAAGACCACTTAATACTGGTCACTTGCCCCTTAACTTTCCTAAATCTCGCTATCACATAGTGTGGGTAAAGTTAAATAAATATGGTATTTTAGCTTTCCGATTCATGCTTAGGAGTGACGGAGAGTTTAATTTGGATTAGGACTGGAACAGAATCAGGTGTGGTACTTATTTAACACAGAGAACAAGCCTGTTAATCCTGAATGTTTGCTGTTAACCTTAAGCCATTTAAAATGAAATTTAAAGCAGTTGCTTCTGTCCAGATGCCCCTGCATGGGCTAGGACCATTGTACTCCTCAAGATGGCGATCCCGCACGGGCGTTCCTATTTGATGTATATGATAGGCCTCACCCATTTCCCTAAAATGCATTAGTTCTGGCAGGTGGGCCAGAAGTCAATGGTTATTCCCACACCTCTTACATCTGTAATCAGTAAGAGTTGTGGCCTGATTTGACCCTCAAAAGTAATGTGTCTCGACTTTACAAGATGGGGCAGCAGGTGGGGCAGCATTTGGGCATGCAATTAGCCTAACCCCATCAAGGCCAGGTGCTTTACATCAGCTACCACTTGTTCATGCCCTTGCACACTGGATATGTCTGGATCAGACCGCTACAATGCTTCCCTATGCATCTTACCTTTCCCATACATGTGCAATTGCTCCTGTCTGGATTGAGGGCAGCCCTGTAAGTCATTAAAATAAAACAAAATAAAATTGTGCTGAAAATGATACAGGACACGTCTGTGCCCAACCAAGCTGTAAAATTTTAGATATTATGGTGCAGAAAATAGTTTGAAAGAACGAAAATTGTTTTATACTTCTCAAAGGATGGAATATGGCCAAAGTAATATTCCATTATTTTGGGCTGCTTAAGAAGTAGAAGCAGTCAGTATTTGAAAGAGAAATCTTCTGAGGGATAGTTGTGAGTGCTGGCAAGTTGAAAATATGAGTGACACCAAAGCAGGGTTGGAAGACAAAGGAGAGAAAGGGGGGGAGAGAGACACACACACACACTTTTCCTTATGTTCCCAGCTACTACTATTGCTATTTCTCTCTGACTCCCCATTCTGCCCCTTTTTATAGTTGTTTTTTTAAAACTGGGAGGGAGGGAGGAAGGGAGGGAGGTGGGGTTTTTATTTCCAATGGGTTTGTACAAATATTTACATTAAAGTACACTGTCGTAGCTTCCTGGCATCAGAATGTAGGCTCAAAGGCTAAATTCTGAATGCTGTAACACATTTTTAAATGTATTTAATCAATAATACTCACATGCTAATACTTATGCCTCAGCGACCAGAAAGAAATCACTTGTGTGATCTCTTTGCTGCTATCATCTCACACTTTCCAGTGTGATAAGTTTTTGAGGGTGCAGACCCCCTATAACCTCTACGTTCGGTGAAGGGTTAGAATTTGAGCAAGGGTTAGAATTTGAGAAGGGTTAGAATTTGAGCAAACTTCTACATTCAGGAATTTAGGAAGGACTGGAAATAATGCCAGTTAGCTTCCTCATGAGGCTAGCCTCAGAAAGGCTCACTGGAGGTGGTCACTGAAGAAACAGAAGGCTGGTAATGGCCTGGTTTGTTTGATAATGGTAAGCCATCAGCAGAACATCAGACTCTCTGCAGGAAGAGGGACAGAACTCTATGAGCCCTGGCTGGGAAAAGCTGTACCAAGAGACTGGGGAGCATGGCTGGTTTCTGGACAACCTATGAAGCTATGAGGGGTGTGACCAGGACTTTTTTCAGGGGGAACTCAAGGGAACTCAGTTCTGGCACCTCTCAAGTAGGTGCTATTGTCATTCTAAGAGAAAGAGGGAGGTGTTTATGGTGAGTTCCAGCACCTCTTTTTCTAGAAAAACAGTGCTGGGTGTGACAAGAGACACACTTGGGGTACAATGCTCTGCACCCCTTCTGTTGAAGGCGTTAGGTTGTAAATATGTGTAAATAAGGCATATTTGGTAAGGACACTAGCCTCCATTGTGCCTCATTTTCCCTGGTTAAGTGCCAAGAAGCTAGAATCTCTCGCTACCTCCAGGCAGAGATTGGGGTGGTAACATTAGGGCTGGCATATGTCCGGAATTTCCCAGACATACAGAAACAGTGTCCGGATATAGCTCAAAAACTTTGCCGGAAAAAAACTTTTGTGTTCGCATTTTCACTCTTTTAAATATGGCAACCCTGGGTAACAGTATTTGTCTGACATTTTTCTTACCTCAAAAATTGCATGGTATTTTGTGGAGGGTGAGAGGGGAAGTGGCCTTGTTGCACAAGAGCATGAAATCCACTTGAATCATACCTATCAAAACAGTGACAGTCTGGAAGCAGCTGAAGAATAATAGCTTTGGCTCAATACTGCTAGCCTACATGCGCTGCACAGCTCAGTTTTGAACATCTGGACCCAATCAAAAGATCACGAGCTGGAAAGCACTCCTAGAAACAAACTTATGTAGCTTAGAGCTTTGCAGAACTTTATTGTGTTAATGAGAGACTGTGGGAGCCTAAACAGCCATTTTAAATCACACAGTTGTTAAGTTTTGTTTTTGCTTGCACACAGCACAGTGCTGGGCAGATATTAAACGGAAGCCTCTAGCGTCAGTGTTTAGGGTGTTTGAAGGTTTAATGCAACAATGGCAGTCATACAGCTCAGATTCTTATTAGCTTCATTCTTTACAAGTATTGCGGGAGAAGCACAATATGTAATGCAAGATGCTGGATTGGTGCATTACATGGACCGCCGAATTCTCTCAATAGAGGTATGTGGCTATATCAGTGATATCTGAAAAATGATTTGATTTTCTGTGTAAAGTGGATGTGTGCTAGGGAAATAAATTGCTTTCCTTTTAAAATGAGCTCCTTTTTATAACTGTAGCTTTAATTATGCACAGTAAAGGTATAAGGAACAGCCCAAATGCAAGGTTGTTTATGAAACTTGTTCCTGTTGATTTTATTAGCAAGTAAACATGCATGCTTGGAATGGGTGCAATCCAGCTAGAGTTAAAACACTTTTAAGTTAGTTGATTTTTCAGTGGAAAGCAAGCAAAGCTTTACAGTGTGCTGAACAAGGGCAGGATGGGATCTGGGATATTTTCACTCTTTGAGGGGGGGGATCCATTTGACAGTGTATGAAATTTGAATGCCACAAGGAGCCATCTACTCTTCAAACAGGACTTCCAATATCTCAATTTCTGACCTTTACTACATAGGTGTTCTGGTTAAGCTAAAGAGAGTCATTGCATCCATTTTCACAATGCTAAGAGGGCAAATGAAAACTCCTGGATCTTGAAAACACACTTTTTTACTCTAGCAGTTGGGTCCCCAACATGATCACTGTGGGCACCATGGTACCCTCATACACCTCCTTGTTGACAAAGGTTGGGAACTCCTCCTGTAGCAATCATATGCATTCAGTCAATGTAACAAGCAGTGCTATTTTTCTAGAAAAAGAGGTGCCGGAATTCACCATGAATACCTCCCCTGTTCTCTTAGAAAGGCAATGCCAGCCACCTAAGAGGTGCTGGAACTGAGTTTCAGCGAGTTCTTGCTGAAAGAAAGCTCTGGTAAGAAGCTTTAAGAAGTTATAATTGTTTCAACACTGCATGTGGGTTAGTAGAACAGGAGTTCGCTGTTAACTATGTATTGTACTAATTAGCAATGCAATTCTATATGTGGGTAATAATAAATAATAATAATAATAATATTCACTGGGTCTTACTCCCATGTAAGTGTGCCTAGGATTGCAGTTCTATGTATACTTGCCTAGGAGTAAGCCACCCAAAAATCAATCCTTGCTTTAAAAATCAATGCCTGCTGTTCTCTTTCCCATTATGAGTGAGAACGTTTGAAATTTTGAGGTGATGTTGACATTTCTTGAGAAAAGGTGCAGGCTAGCTATTGTGCACAAGAAGGACCCATATTTTACTTAGCAGGAGTCCATTAACTTTCCCAAATCCTGGACATGAAGGTTTTTAGCATCGTTTCATCTTCAGGCCAGGTCAATAGCAGCATAGGAATGCTTCAACAACAACAAAGCTGGCAGTTCTGCACCACCTCTTCTCAAAGGGCTTACAATCTGAGGTAGATGGGCACAGCAAAGGGAGCAAAGTCAGGAAATGGCAGTGATTAATGGAGATAAGTTAGAGGACAGACAAGTAAGAGGCAGTGAAGAAGCAAGCAGGGTGAAGCCAAGATTATGTGTGATTACTACAGCTGTCACTTGATACGGCTGAATAACTGCTATAATCAATCATTGTGTGATCAATTGTCATGGCTTGCTGCCGATTATCTCCTCAGACAGTCACGCCAAGATTAGAACCAGGCTGGAAGGTGATAGCTATAGAGATGTCAATGAGACTGCTTTGTCCTGACTCACAGAGCCAGGGGTTTATAATGTTGTTGTTTAGTCGTTTAGTCGTGTCCGACTCTTCGTGACCCCATGGACCAGAGCACGCCAGGCACCTCTGTCCTCCACTACCTCCCGCAGTTTGGTCAAACTCATGCTGGTAACCTCGAAAACACTATCCAACCATCTCATCCTCTGTCGCCCCCTTCTCCTTGTGCCCTCCATCTTTCCCAGCATCAGTGTCTTCTCCAGAAGCTGAGGGGTTTATAATACTCACCTCAAATAGGAAGTGAGAATTACAACCTCTTAATTCTTCCCTGGCTCAGATTTCAATCCAATCTGATGAAGAATTCCACTACTCCCTGCCCCTAGCTGTGCCCATCACTCAGCCAGTCCTCAAACCTGCATCCTCCCACCCCCTTTCACTACTAACCACTTACCAGGCTGTGGATATTACTCCAAGAAAGGAGGTCTCTCTCACCCACAGTTCCTCATATACTGCTGTTTGGTGTCCCAGGCATGAGAAATATGTTTTCCCAAGAGTTAATGATATCCAGTAGGATGGGGAGGACACCTAGAACTTGCCCCCAGATCTGAGGTTCCCTGTGCCTGATTTATAGGGTAGGAGTGGTGGGTGGCAGAGTGTGTTTCTGATCTTGCTTCTTCCATGAATTTGCAGTTACTCCAGTCATTTGTGATGTTACACATCTGAGTCAAGCTCACGTATTTGCAATCTCCATACAGTACTTCTATTTTTCAAGACAGGCAGGTAGGAAAAAAGGGTCTTTGCCTTCCCTTCTCTCACACAATAGCTCCAGTCAAGGAAAGAAGGGGAAGCTGGCTTTGGAGGATCTGCAAAGCTGGAGCTCTGAGTAACTGTACTCAGCCGGACTCTTTTCTTTGGCTCCATCCCCTCCAGCTGTGCAACATCTGGATCAGCAGGGGCCTCACTGGTGTCTTCCGCCAGCACAGCTACTATTTTTGATGCCTCCTGGGGGGGGAAAATCAGTAGGTTGTGGTGAAATTTTGCACTCAGCTGTTCTCAAACTTTTTGTAAATGTCCCCCCCCCATTTTTAAGTGTACATATGACAAACACATGTTTGCAAATATATATATATCATAATATAGTGTACCATATAGGTATACTAATCCTGAAGCTAGGACTTGGTTTTTACTCCCTGTTAAGTTTATACTTTGTAGCAATCCTGCATTTGCTCTATTAGTATGTGAAAAAGCTTTGTGTTTGAGGCAAATTCAGTCTTTGGGATTGATGGAACCCTGGAGGCAGGAAGAATATATTTGTGCTGCTGTATATTTGAGTAGGGGAAATCCATAAAAAACAGGAAAAGTGCATTTATACACCCAAAAGTCCACCATAGTTACCAGCAGTGATACTGCTATGTTTTCTGGATAAAATAGAGGCTGAACTTTTTAGAATACAGTGGTACCTCAGGTTACATAAGCTTCAGGTTACATGCGCTTCAGGTTACAGACTCCGCTAACCCAGAAATATTACCTTGGGTTAAGAACTTTGCCTCAGGATGAGAACAGAAATTGTGCTCTGGCGGCGCGGCAGCAGCAGGAGGCCCCATTAGCTAAAGTGGTGCTTCAGGTTAAGAACAGTTTCAGGTTAAGAAAGGACCTCCAGAATGAATTAAGTACGGTACTTAACCCACTGTACCACTGTATTCTTTTATGGGGGGGGGAAGAATTATGATTCTGCCAAAGAATTAGGTGGGTTGTGTTTTTTTCATTGGGCATACATGTTGCTTATATAAGAATAAGTTTTCTACCTCTTTTCTCATTCAGTACATTTACCTTGCACCAAAACAACACTCCTAAAATGTCCAGTTTCCAACTGTTCCATAGTGCATGCCTAGACATGTCTACTCAGAAGCAAATTCCACTGTTTGTAATGGAGCTTACTCCCAGGTAAGTGTGTATTGGATTGCACACCCAGCTCCTTAAAAAAAAAAAGTTTCTGTCCTTTTGGGCCTCATTACACTTCAACTTAGGACCAAACTGACCAGTTTTACCTCACATAGTTGTTTCTTGTTTAGTAACCACTACAGCAGGACTGAGCCATCAGGAACATGGTGGCAGGGAAGGACTTTAAAACTTTGTCCCTGCCATGGTCCCAATGAGAATTACAACCCTTGTCTGCCATTTGCAATGGGAATCTCTTGTTGAGGAAACAAGTTCTAAGGCATCCATGTGAACTCACCCTCAGTCTGCCAGGATTCGCGTAGAAAACAGTGCTGGTGGCGTGAGAGATAAGATGCCAGAGCCTGACCTCTGGGAATTCTGACTTGAGACGTCCACTTCCACCACCACCCTCCAAGGGCCATACTGCGTGCTTCAATGCTAAAATTAATTTTAGAAAAATCTCTTAGTTAAGCCAGAAGAGAAATGGAATGCTGAGCAACACAAACAAGAGGTACAATAAAGTAATGGAATGCAGCTTACCAAATCAAGGAAGTTGTTTTTGGTGGTTTCACTGGTGACCTTCTCATAAAAGAATATTAACTTTAGAGTAGTTCTCAGTGGGGTTCTCCTAACAAGCCGTCTGCAGATTTCCTGGTGGAGAGGGTGGGAATATGACCTCACCCCACTTTTCTGCATTATTCCAAAATATAAATTTGTACTGTGTCCCTTCTCAGCCTTCCTTATTCCTAGGGGCATCTCTGCATGTGTTTTTAAGATACCAGAGTGTTGTTTTCCATATGAGCAAGCCCACGATTGGGGACACGGGTGGCACTGTGGTATAAACCACAGAGCCTAGGGCTTGCTGATTAGAAGGTTGGCGGTTCGAATCCCCGCGATGGGGTGAGCTCCCGTTGTTCAGTCCCAGCTCCTGCCCACCTAGCAGTTTGAAAGCACGTCAAAGTGCAAGTAGATAAATAGGTATTGCTCTGGCGGGAAGGTAAATGGTGTTTCCGTGCCCTGCTCTGGTTTGCCAGAAGCGACTTAGTCATGCTGACCACATGACCCGGGAGCTGTCTGCGGACAAACGCCGGCTCCCTCGGCCTATAGAGCGAGATGAGCATGCAACCCCTGAGTCATCCACGACTGACCTAACGGTCAAGGGTGCCTTTACCTTTAAGCCCACATTTGACCCAGGACTATACAGCTGTAAATATAACGTTTTGTGTTTTAAGTGCATTATACAAATGTGACACTAGATGGTGCAGATAAGCTTGCAGCTAATTCCATATATATTTTAAAACTTTTTTTAAAAAAAGTATTTTCACAGTGTTTTTTATATCTGTGTAGATCCACCTCCACTGTCTCATCCTTCCCCCATGGTAAAGGACTGCATGTACTGTTTCTGTTACTCTCCACTGCATTCAAGATACAATGTGTGGCATGGGTGTTCTATGCAAAGGCTCAGTTCACATGCTTCCTCCTCTTTTTCTAGAAAAATAGCATAGGTTATGTGCATGGTAGGAGGAAAATGCAAGTGCCTGCTCTGTCATGGAAAGAAGATCATTGCTGGCTCCATAAGCTTAGGAACCAGCTCTAAATGTGGAACAGACCATCTATAAGGGACTGGATAATTAAAATCTGGAACGCTGTTTATAGGGTAAAGCTAATAAATATGGTAAGAATCAGAGAAAGCAGACAACTTGATGACCTCTTTCTAGAAAAACTACATCTCTTCATAAATTATTGGTGTAAATAAGATTCAAGACCATGTAAATCTGTATTACTCAGAATTTGGCTTATTTTTGAATTTTTTTCCCCTTTTGTTCTTTGTTCTGGTGGTTGTTGTTGTCTTTGCTTTGCTTTTGTAAGGTTTAGAATTTTTATTTTTTAAAAAAAGACATTTGAAAACAGATTGCAACATTACAAAGAAAGCTTTTCAGATAGAATAAACGAATAAGGAACTTGGCACCATGCATACGGATTCATTCTCAGAGTTTGATCCCAATAATTTCTGGCAACAGACATTCAGTAACATGTCGCAGAAACAGGAGACATAGTTAATTCGTCTGAAATGGAGAAAAGCAAGGTTATTTTAAATGTAGAGCCTATTTGGGAAAACCATTAAACTAGTTCTCTGTCTATAAATGCTCCTGTCTGTGTTCTAACTAAAGAACAGGTTAAACAAATGCAATCAAGATATTGCAGATTATGTCCAGGAATTCCGAGAGTTTTCCAAGAGAATGATGTCGCGCCTGGAAGGACTCAACGTTTTGAAGACAGATCTTAAAAATGATGTTGACCATTTGCTAACAAGAGTGGAAAGAGCGCAAAGGGAAATTGACTATTTTGAATCGGCAAAGGAGTCCCCCGACACCTGCGTGGAAGTCGACGAGGACCTTGTGGAGCAGCAATTAATGGAACAAGAGGAGTCGAAACAGAAAGTCAAGCTCATGCTCAATGCAAGTAAGAACAGTTTAGCTACAATGTTTTAAAATTATCCTTTTAGACCAGGGATAGTGAACCTGTGGCTCTCCAGATGTTGTTGGACTCCAATTCCCATCAGCCCCGGGCAGGTTGGGCAATGGTCAAGGAGGATGGGATTTGTAGCCCAACAACCTCTGGGAGGGCTATAGGTACCACATGCCCACTTTAGTCAATGTATCAGTATTTCAGCTCAGTTCTCATGGTGTGAATCTTTCAGTGTATACATACAGTATCCTGTTGAACTGAAAGCGGATCAGCCTGATGAAAACATTATGGTAACACACCAATTCCCATCCCTGTTTGCAGCATCAAACCATGAAATAGAAGAGTAAGAATTTGTGTTTCATGGTTTTATGTTGCAAAGCAGAGATGGAGTTGCTGGACTCCAGTTCCCATCATCATTGACCATTGGCCGTGCTGTCTGGGACTGATGGAAGTCAAAGTCGAACATCTGGAGGACAACAGGTCCCCCCGTTCTGCTTTAACATCAACATAATTGGCACTGGACAGTATGCATCTAAATAACTGTGCAGGTGAACTTTCCCCCTTTCCTCTCCCCTGATGTGCCCCCATCACCCCCAGATCTACTGTGGAGGGTTGGGTCAATCACCAGAACAGATTTGGGTGAAGGCAGAGAGGGGGAGAACATTCTGTTGCACAAGAATAAATCCTTGAGATGATGGATCATTCCCATTAGTATTACTCTGAATACAACCCACATATATAAACAGGGAGGGATTGTAAAGAGATGGAGATGGCTTCCATCTGCAAATGATTCTCCCCCCCCATGTGTCTCATTATTTCCTGCTGTTCAGTGTCAAGATCCCGCAAGAACGTGCGTAACTTACAGCACCGTTTTATACCAGGCTACCCAGAAGTATGTCCCAATGGGTTCCATAGGACTTGTTCCCAAGTATTTGTTTATAGATTTGCGCAGTTAGCTGCAAACCACAGTAAATAAATACAGAAGTTAAGAGGAGCATGTCAAGATTTAGTGAAAGTCTTTATTCCTTCTCAAATCACCCCAGAGGAATGTTTCTGGGTTCTGAAATACGGAAATATAATCCATACACCTTGGACTTCTTCACAATTTTCAGTTTGGGGTGATCAGTCGTTGCACTGGTTATTAGATTCAAGCATGGCATGCACACCAAATAACAATAATTTGTAATTTGAGTTTCAAAAGCAATGGGTACTTAGTCCTAGGAGGACAATATTATTGCTCTTTGCTTTCTCTCTTCATTGCATGATTGCACACAAACACACACAAGAATATTCTTGTACCTCCTGTTCATATACTTGTTACATTACTTTTGTAGTACAGGAAAACATACAAAAACGGTGGCATTATAAGAAGATTGCCCTTGGGAAAGCTAGGGAAGAAAAATGACTTGTTCTTCCACAGTGTGCTTTCGGATATTCACATAAGCATTACAAGTTTGCAAGCCCTTTGCTGCTCCATGAATATCCCTTTCTAGACAGTTAATGCACAAAACATTCAAAACTACCAATATTTTCTATATTATCCATATATCTAACCCAAGGTCATAATGGAGGACTTCCACCTTTGGCTGATCCGCCTAAAAATCTGTTGTGATTTTCTTGCAGCAGACGTTGCTAAAATGTGGGCAATCTGTCTTGATCTAATTTAATTTTTGCTGCAATAACTATTCTTTGTTCAGCCTATGCCTAATTGTCACCCGTTTTGACATGGTCTATAAATTTATATTTTCAATTCAGGAAACTCTTGGTTTGCTACCTTTCCTTTTTTCAGTTATTGGATTGGATTCAGACAAAAGATAGTTGACCCTAGCTCTGCTATAAATCAATGGGACAAATCAGTAATGACTGGATTTCCAATTGATTTTAGTGAGAACCACACCTGTCCCCAACTCTTAAGCATGTGGGACAGATGTGGGAAGTACTTTGCAAGCACAAAAGAATCATTTCCTTGTTATTGGTTTTAATGCAGGCTGGCTGTGATATGGAGCACTATCTATTGTGAATGTTTCCAGTGCAAGGCTGACCAAACTGGAGTTGTGGGAGAAATGTTCTGGGCCTCTTGGACATCACTGATCTTCATTTCAGTGGCTAGAAGTACTGTTTGTCCTTCTTTCAAAGGAAGCACAAAAGTCTCATTTTAGTCTGAGATGATTCAGGGCTCCCCAGTACTGAAAGGCTTTCAGGGCTGTTAGTTATCCCCCAACTGTATACATAAGCAATAGCTATGGGCATCCAAGACTACAAACTCCCCCAAAGGGAATGGAAATATATCCACTTGTTTCAATTAATTTGGAGTAGGCTCCCGAAGAGGAAAGTGATAGTACTACAGAGATAGTTTCATAAGCCTGTTCTGTAATGTTTTCTGCTGCAGCTTCCTACCTAAAGGGCTTGTTTACTCTGTTTGGCTGCAAATGCTGCGTCTTATTAAAAGACATTCTTTAGAGTCCAAACAGGGTCTCTTTTCACTCTGTATTGCCTTGGGCAGGCAGAGGATAATGCTTGGGTCCTGGATTGTGCCCCAGAAAGAGCTGTGCAGCCCCCTACTGCGGATTCACAGTGGTACCTTGGTTCTCAAACTTACTCCGTTCTGGAAGTCTGTTCCAAAACCAAAGCGTTCCAAAACCAAGGCGTGCTTTCCCATAGAAAGTAATGCAAAATGGATTAATCTGTTCCCAACTTTAAAAAAACAACCCCTAAAACAACAATTTAACATGACTTTTACTATCTAATGAGACCATAAAATGAAAGCAATAATCAATGTATTGTACTACAAAATAAATAAGACAGTAGTGTAGATGAGGGGGAATTTTTTCCTTCTTACCTGCACTGATGATAGTCATTGTTTGGATAAAATGGCTTTTATCCATTTCCACATTCACACAATCAGTAGCTGAACTGGGTTCCACAGTCACAAAAACAAATTAACTGAAAAAGACACAGAAACAAAAATGCAAAAATAGCAAAAGCACCAAACTAATCCGTTCCGTTGACTTCTGAAATGTTCGAAAACCAAGGCACAGCTTCTGATTGGTGCAGGCACCCGGGAAACAATAGCCGACAACCGCATCAGATGTTTGGCTTCTGAAAAACATTAGAAAACTGGAACACTTACTTCTGGGTTTTTGGCATTTGAGAACCAAGGTACCACTGTAGCTGGGGAGGGTTGCCCTCATGACGAAGTATACAGGACTTCTTCAGGAATGTTCCACTATCGGGACAGAACTAAGGGCTGGTTCAAATCAGTTTTTCTTAGCCCTCATCAGAGGCCGCTGTTTGGGTAGAGAAAGTATGCGGGGGGACACACTAACCCCCTAGCATTTCAGAACCAAGGTCTTTCATCATGTGTGGAGCCTCCATGCGAATAGGAGGCTCCCTGTTTCAGACTTTTGTCCTTCTTTAACTTAGAAGGTGATCAGAACAGCAATTGAGGGGGGGTGAAGTTAGTGCCCTTGCCCGTGCCCAACCCCATGTTTACTTTCCCTTACCTGCAATGCCTGAAGATGTCTCATGTGGTGTTTGGGTAATTATACTGTGGTGAATGTATGAGTGTTGCTGAATGTATGCTTGGCTGGCTTTTGCACGCAGAAGCTTCCAGACTCAGCTTATAGTGTCTCCAGTTTTGTTTTCATTTCTTTTAAAAAGGAAATCAGGTAGCAGAACTCCTGCCAGGAGAATAACTCCCAGTCTAAGTAGATAATGGCCTGCCTGCCTCATGTGGCTTTCCTCTCTGCTAGTCTAAATGCAAACAAACCAATGTACCAAAAGAGTATTGTGGCTCATGGGGATTCTATTAACAAAAACAGGTGGAACGCCAGCGTGAGGAGAGACCGAAAGTTACTTCAGAATAACCCAAAAGTTAATTTCTCTTTCATCTAAAACTAGAGCAAAGTCTGGTGCATGTGGACTATCCATAACAAACCATATCTGTCTTTTGGACTTAAAATGGTTCTTTTTCGATTACTCTAAACACGGGGGAAGCAGCTGCCTGATTTCAGAGGACAGGTATAATTTCAAGGAAAAGAGATGCAGATGTTAAGAACATCTGGTCAGCAAGTAGTCGAATGGGAAAACCATGCTGTAGAATGGGGAAGTGTGAAGAGCTCCACCCTAGTCCCTGTAGTGACTGCCACATCCTCTTCCACAGACTTTGTTTGCTGCTAAATTGATTTGACAACTAGGAAGTCCAGGTGGTACTCGGTGAAATTGACTTTGGTTTGGGGGCATCCAGTTGCTGATCTCTGATGTATCCAATACCAGCCACTCCTATCCCTAAAATTCATCGAGGGCAAGGAGTTTTGCTCATGGTTCCTGCTAGGATTCACTCTGTGGAGATTACAGGGCCTTTTTAATAGTGGCACCCCAACTTTGGAAGATTCTCCCCTGGAGCCATGTTTGTCTCCTTGCCTGTTTATATTTAGATGTCAGTCAGGAGTGCCAACTTGAATGAAATATTGTGGGGACCCAGGTAAGCCCCACCCCATGTAATCACAACATGGTACACACACACAATTTGAATGGCAATGCTCATCAACCTTGCAGGAGCCCGGTCCCCTCAAATATTTTATTGTGGGAGCTGAAGCCCACATGGCCCCATGGAGTTGGCTCCTATGATGTCAGTTAAAGACAGATGTGAGTACCCGGGCTTTTATAAATCGAGGCTACTTGTTTTGATGCCCAACAGCTGGAAATGGTTATTGCATTTAAATGGTTATGATATTGTACAGATATTTATGGCTGTTTGCATGAGTTTTATTTATTGGCTGTATTTTGTTGCTCTGCTTTATCACCCTGGGATCCTTTGGGAGGGAGGGCAATTCAGAAATCAAATAAATAAGCAAGCAACTGGCTGTGAAGAAACAGGAGACTAAAACAGCACAATACACCATAGAATACATCATATCTGTGGATGCTTTTCTGGAAGTCTGCTAAGGCAATTCTGGCTTGGGGTGTATCAGACGGGATAGAGATAGATCAATTTCGATAATCTATTCACTGTTCCATTTCATTGTTTTCTTTGACAGAATGTAGACCAATTGTGACGTGTGATGGTACAGGAAACAATTTACACTTTCCTGAATTATGCTGGAAGGGGAAAATATTCAAATGCTAAAGCAGAGAACTTACGGCATATGTGTTGATGCTTCTTTTTGTATTTACCTCCCCCCCCCCTTTCAAAGGTTGTAACCACATGATTGCAGGCTTCAAATCCCTGAAGATTGTAAAGAAGTCTGGAGACACACAGGGCTCATGGCTGAAGGACCCCATCAAGAACCCCCAAAAGATCTATTTCTTAACTGGGGTAAAGAACAAAATTGTAATGGAGTTTGCAAATATCCGGGCTTTTACTGAAAGCGGTGAGAAACAGTCAGCTCGCAGAGTTAACCTGCCTTTTCCCTGGCAAGGGACAGGCCATGTTATATATGACGGTTTTCTGTTTTATCACAAATTTGGCTCCTTAAATGAGATAATTAAGTTTGACATTCAGAAAAGAAATGTCACTGGCCGGCTGCTTCTGTCAGGAGCAGGAGAAACCTTCGCCTACGACCTTCTTCCTTCCACTAAGATAGACCTAGCTGTGGATGAACTGGGATTGTGGGCAATCCACACAGAGCCAGATCCTGGTAGAAAGCTGGTCATTTCTAAAATCAACTATGAAACCATGGCCATGGAATATACCTGGGACACATCCTGCAAAAGCCAGAATGCCGAAGCGGCTTTTATGATGTGCGGCGCCCTGTATGTAGTGTACAATTCACCAGGGGGAGGTACGTCTCGCATCGAGTGCATTTATGACACCTTAGACGCCATCAATCCTTATGAAATCCCGACGCTTCCATTCCCCAAACGCCAGACAAGTCACTCCATGGTGCATTATTACCCCAGAGAAAAGCAACTCTTTGCCTGGGATAATGGATCCCAGGTCATTTACAAACTCCTGACAAAGCTAAAAAATTAATAAAAGCAACAACATAGAAATCTCCTCCATACTAAAAACTTGCCAGTGTAAATATGGTAATGAATTTACAAGTACTAGTGACTAAGAGGTTATTTTTTTCTGCTTGCCCACAGCTTACACTTATTTTTACACTTTATTTTGCCTTTAAAAAAGAAGATTTTTCACCCCTTTCCCCTAGATTGGTGCAGTGCTCTGGAAAGGCCTTTCCCTTCCTTGCAAACAGAGCCAACTTTCTGAGGCAGCAACCTGAATTTGGTGGCAGATTGGGAGGGAGGCGGCAAATCAACAGGTTAGGGTGGCTGAGGAAGTGAGAGAAAGAGAAGGCAATACTGGTTGGTATCCCCCTCTCTCCTGATAAGAACTTGCATGAAAGTGGCCCCCCCAACTTTTCTCACAGGCTCATATAAGATCAGTATAAACAGTTAGACCTGGTGAGCATTTAAGGTCCCCATCCCTAATTTGCGGATTGCCATCTGATTAGATTTCACTTTGATTCTGATTTGATTTTAGGATGTATTTTAATTGATCAGTTGATTTTATGGTAATATGTTATATATTTGATGTTAGCCGCTCTGAGCCCGGTTTTGGCCGGGGAGGGCAGGGTATAAATAAAAATTATTATTATTATTTGTGAAAGAGACAAGCATGTAATTCTTGGCCTGGGCACAAGGGAGAATAGTACATAGTTACTGTTGTTTTGCTGCAGCCACACAACATTGTACACGCTGGTTGCTTTCAGTCCCCCTTCTCTCCCAGCTATCTTTCTCTTTCCTTTCCTGCTCATTTTCCTCCCACCTCTGTTCCCACCCAGAACTTCTCTTTCCCTGGAGTAAACAGGGAGTCCCATTCAGTGTGGGATAATGGCTTGTTACTTGTAGGTCTGATTATCACCTGGGAGACTAGGGTTCAAATCCCCACACAGTCGTGTAGCTCACTGGGTGACCTTGGACCAGACACTCACTCCCAGCCTAACCTGCTTCACAGGGTTGTTGTGTGAGGATAAAATGGGGAGGAGGAGAACTACGTCCCCCACTCTGGAGCGCCTAGGAGAAAAGATGGTATATATAGGCAATAAAACAAAATAAATAAAGCCACACTATAGATACAGCACACTTTTAAAGCACAAGACTGCCCCAGAGAACTGTAGTTGGTTACAGGTGCTGGGAATTGGCTCCGTGAATGGTAAACTCTGGTTCCCAGGTTTCTTTGGAGAAGGCCATGTGCTTTAAATGTATTGTTTGGATATCACCAGGGATACCATTGGTGTTCTACTTTAACAGCAAAATGACTTGCAGTACCACAGCAAACAGATGGTCAGCGGGGGGGGGGGGGGGTGCAGAGGGGACTCCATAACTGCAGCACCAGGTACTTCAGATCAGGTTTCCCTCTTGACAGCAGTCTCCTGCACATGTGGTCCCCTCCTGCAGCATGTTTGTGTGTGTGAGCTGCCCTCTCACTAGACTGGGACCTAGGTATAAAATTCTGACTGCTCTTGTAGCGCCTTTTAATTCTGATATATTTTAATGGAGCACAGCAAGTAACTCTACATTCCACCATGTAGACGCATGCTATCTATATAATGTCATAGCAAATGGTGAACTTGTTTGTACTGTAGAGGATATATTTTTAAAAATGTAAAATAAAAGATCTATATATTGGCACCCTTGGCTCTTGATATTTAAGATGGTCAGAATTCCAGGTTATTAGCCAGAGCAAATAATGGAGTTGGGGGACAAAAATGAGCTGCTATGACGGAGCCAGTCTCAACTGAAGCTCATCACCTGGAAGGCAAGCTATAATTCAATACAGAGCAGGGATATTTAGAAAAGTGGTAGAATGATTAGGGAAGTGGTGTTTTAGTACAAGACTCAATCTAGTTGGTCGGTGTTAAATATCTGCTCCTGTGAAATGTTTGCAATGTGAATCATCGTAGGACACTTGAAAAGTCAATCAGAAATAGTAGGGCTCTTGAGAATTTATAAGAAACAAGAGGGGCTTGTGAAGTGTTGAGAGACACATTTATGAAAAGGATGTCTAATCTGAGTAAACCAGTAGTCAATTAACACCAGTTTAAACAAGGCCCAATAAAATAAATCTTTTCTCGTGGGGAAGTGATTTATATAAAGATTTTATGCCTGATTAGCCTGGATCTTTGAACTCACATCTTGACACTATTTCTTCAACCCATGTGGAATTACTACTAGTACCACCACTACTACTACTACTAACAACAACAACAACAACAACAACAACAACAAAACAACAACAACAACAACAACAGATTAGGCAATCAGTCCTTTTGAATTTGCTTCTTAATACTTCAAGCAAAAATGGTTAAACTAAACATTTACTCCTTGCCTTTGGTTTTCTTCAAAATAGCCCAACAAATAGCTATGCTTGCTTGTTCCTGGGTGATGCTAAAAAAGCTACAGTCAGGCTTCTTCACAAGTAAATGTGTTTTGGAGGACATCATTTAATAGGGTTTTACATGTTTGCATAATTGGTATCTGTCTAGGGCTCTTATGATGAGCATGTGTGAGAGCAAATTTGGATAAATAAAACAAGGGAAGGCTATTTCCAGCTCAGCTCTAAATAAAGCACCATGAATAATGTATGCTCATCTTGGAAGGCAGGCTTTTGATTTTAAACATATGTGCATTAGATATTCATTCCCGTTCTTCTGCAGTGTTTCTGTGTAAAGTGAAGTTAATACTTCACAGGAGACAACATGCAAATTAAGGTCTGCCTGCCTGCAATCTGTGGTCCAGAACAGAGATGATCATAGCAGTTATGGTAGTACCCGGTACAAGGAGAGAGTTTTCCAGCTCTGCAACTGAATGTAAGAAGAATCCTGCCAGGTCCATACAAAGCTTCATCTCTTTCAGCATACTGATTCCCATGATCCCTGAGTCCATGATCAATAAGCCTCTCCGACTGTTGTCCCCAACAACTGGCATTCACTGGCATATTATTCCTAAACATGGAGTTTTGTTACCCAGGCATCATGGCTAAGAACCGCTGACATACTTACCCAACATAAATTTGTCAAATCTTTTTAAAGCTGTCTAAGTTAGTGGCCACCAGCATGAGTTTGACCAAATTGCGGGAAGTAGTGGAGGACAGAGGTGCCTGGCGTGCTCTGGTCCATGGGGTCACGAAGAGTCGGACACGACTAAATGACTAAACAAGAACAACAACAAAAAGTTAGTGGCCATCACCATATGCTATGACAGGGAATTACGTAACTGAAGTGTGCACTGTGAAGTATCCTTCCTTTTGTCTCTCCTGAGCCCACGGTGGATCAATTTATTTTGGTGACCCCAACTTATTTTGAAAAAGGAAGAAAGCTTGTTTCATCTAACCACTTCCTTCACACCTGCATAATTTTCATATAGCCCTATTCACACACTTGGTCAAACATGTGTGGACCTAAAGTGAGGAGAGGGGTGTGTGAACATGTACATAAAATAAAATATTTAAAGCATGTTGCATTGTTAGATATTTTTACTCCTCTGCAATTGGCACAGTGGGCATTAGATGGCAGCAAATCATTGCCTTTGCTCGTCTTCCTCCAGAAGCAGTTTCAAAGCAGTCATAGAGCATGTTCAGACTGTTAAAAACCTGTTGTTTTTAGTGAAGTATTATTTCAGAAAATCCTGGCATCTTCCCTCAAAAATATACTTCGAGAGGTTGTTCCCATGGGCATAGCCAGGATTTTCGTTGGGGGGGGAGGCTTTTGTTGGGGGGCAGGCTTTTGTTGTGGGGGAGGCAGAACCTCAGATTTATATTGATTTTGATTGATTTAGGCACCCCCCCCCGGCTACGTAAGTTGTATTGGTACAACTTGTTTCCCAGTATTTATTACTGGGAAAATGCAGTGTCCCAGCACCTGGCTCTGTAGGACGGCAGTTACTCAAGTGTAATGGGCACCTTTTGGATAGTGCCTGTGACTTGACTAATATTGTCTGACACAAATTCTTCCCACGTGTGTGAGGAGGAATTGCATTGTAGCAGTAGAAATCCTCCATCACCTCATGTACTTTGTGAATATCTGAAAAGAGACCCTGTGTAGACAGCTGGTCTTTTTTCTTTTCTTTTCCAAAATAGAAGGCTTTAGCACTGTTTTAGCATTAATTCCATACAAAGCCATTATCATTTACTATATTGTTGTCAACATACCTTAAGAAAATGACAGAATGAATGGCAATGGTAATTAACTAGCAGCAAAATTTAGCTGCTGAAAGAATAAATTAATTCCAGAAACTAAAACCCAGGAAAGAATAATTTTTTAAAAGGTAGAAGGGGAAATACTTTGTTGGGGTGATTCAAGAGAGATACTGTTTCTTTGTTCCTGTCTGTCTGTTCCCCATCTACCTCACCCTACCCCACAACTCTTCTTGGAAAACTGAACTTCCTATTCTTTTTTTAAATGCACCCCATTGTTATTGGGGGGAAACAGACATCTAATACGGACAGAAGTTTCTTTGTGACATTAGCATGTCTCCACTGTGGCCGAACTGAAACAAATAATTCTTTGTGACTGTGAAAAGGATTCTCAGCACGATCAATTAGCCAAGAGACCAGGACAGCTGGGAGAGCACAAGGTCCAAGAACAGCTGAGCCTTTAATCTGCAGTGACCAAAAGTGCCATGCTTGGGTATGTGTTAAATAGCATGCTTATTTCACCACTGTGCTTGGACTTGTAGATGTCAGCTGTGTATGGTGGGCTGAGAAACAGAATACACTGTTAATGGCACTATTGAGGTCATGTGGGTTTCTGACAATGTATTAAGAGAGTTACAGGAGAAACTTCCACTCACATTCTAAATTCTTCAGAGCTCTGATATTCACATTTGACTGGGGCAGGAGTCTTTGGGAAAAGACAAGCACAAGTTGGGAGAATGCCATTTCACTCATGTCTTGCTTATGGAACTTGGCTCCTTCAATAAGAGCTCGTCAGCATGGACTTATTTCCTCTGCTTCTGGATATTTCATGGAGCCAATGATGAATTGTAGATAATATATGGGAAGGAGTGAGTCTGTTGTCTGACCAAAGCTGCATTTGAAGAGGTGACCAACATTGCTAATAATGCATTGTCGGAGATCTGGGCGACCAACTTCCTGTTAACTCAAAAGAGTTCTTCAGAATGCAAGCTTTGGCTGTTTGCTGAGAAGATACTGTAGGACAACCAGAAATAATCACCATTGGCTCACAATAATGAACGTGCACTCCAACAGGTGAGAGGTTTCAGAGGGGCAGCATTCCCTTTGGAAGGCGATCACTGAACATTTATTGGTGTTTTGTTACATTTTGCACTTATTCTACAAAGATACAGGTTGAGCATAGGTGAAGGTACAGGATTAAACACCTCAACAGTCCCCCCCATATCAAGTCTTCTAGGAAAGACTACCAATACTTTCAGAGCCGCCTGGCCCGGCCCAGCCCTGTCCTTTTTTTTTAAGCTTCAGAGCGTCCAATCTTTCCTTTTTAAGAGAAACCGGGATTGCCCCATCCTTTAGAGAGAAGAAAAGTACCCTCCCACTTCCAGAGCAGTCTGTTTGTTCACTGTCTAGTCATTGTGAGACAACTATTGACACCTTCCTTGCAAAGCTTTGTAAAGTCACCCAGACCAATCCCCCAAATTATATCAATATGAATATTCAGAATTCAATGCATTTCCTGAAAGCGGAGGAAAACGGCAGAACCAAACACAAATTCATTAGACACACACGCTCTCTTGTCCAGTGCCAGATTTACATATAAGCTAAATAAGCTATAGCTTATGGCCCCGCTCTCTTGGGGCCCCCAAAAAAAATTAAAGGAAAAAAAACCTGGATGTACATTTCCAAAATATAAGATAAAAAACAATTAAAATAAAACCTACATACAGCAAAAGTGTTTTGTGTTGTGTAGGCTCTTATTCATTATGGGCTAATTGCTTTAGATACCTATTAGGTCCATAAATTACCATATAGCATATATTCAACACAAAAAACAGTGACAATTTGTTGTTGACAAAGGACAGCTGGACATATAAAGGGCCCCATTACGTTCAGTAGCTTAGGGCCTCATCCGGCCCTGCTCTTGTCATACACATAGTTGAGAAATATCAATGGGGAGAAAGGTGCGATGCAATTTTAAAACACCCCCTCACAGGCAGCAATCCTAGCCTCATTTAACTGGAAGAAAGCCTCCATTGAGTTCCAATATGACTTACTTCTGAGTAGACAAGGTTGGATTGCATGAGATAGACTACAAACATTTTTTAATCATTCAGTTGGGACGGGAGATGATCTTAAAAGCAAGCTATAGACCCTATGTGGGGAATCTTTGACCTTCAAGATGTTGCTGAGATACAACTACCATCAGCACCAGATGATGGCTAGGAACATACAGTACTATAATGCTACTATGTTTCTGTGTCACCTGCATACTGACTGCATCCAACACCTATTTCCCTGATGACCACACCCATGGGCTTCATATTTATGTTGAATAGCATTGGGGTCAGAATAGAGCCCTGTGGGAGCACCCAAAGCAACTGCCATGGGACTGAACATGTGTTGCCCAACGCCATCCTCCAGAACCAGCCCTCTAGCCAGGATCAGAACCAACTTCACACCAGACCTCCCCCTCCCAACCTAAAGAGCAAGTCCAGTCAAATGTCATGGTC